CATGTCTTTGTGGTCTTTTTATATAATCCAAAAAAGTCTTCTAATTATTTTAGTTATCCTCTTGCGTGCATTAAGTAAACGCGTCTGTGTCAGTGTGTCTCCTGCTTAAAGTCGTCACTTAGAGTTAACGTGAAATATCAGCATAAAAAGTCCCAACCATCAAACCAAAGAATCTACAAAGGAAAAAAAAATCAACCAATCGGTTTGTTTTATTTTTTCAAGAAAAAAGACGGGTTGTTTTACTTATGCGTCCGGTGCAAGATGCTGTTGCAACTTGCAACTGCTGCTTTAGCTTAATCTTCCCAGCTGGTGGTTTCACCGTTCTCTTCGTATGGCTAGGTTAACGTCGAGCCTGTCCCGACGATCCAAACAGCTCGATCAATACTTTTACGTGCATGCTCTCAACAAGTTTCTCCATGGCATTCACAACCATAGCCGGTGTTGAATATTGAGAGGTCCCAAATTACTTTTTTTTTAGCCCATTAGTTAATTTTTGTTAAGAAAAAAACAAAAATTAAGTTAGTTTCACAGATCACTTGAACATGTGAACTGCACGTTTAGAAGAGAGAGAGAGTCAGAGACAGGTACCTGCTACGGGAGTTTTTGTTATAACTATTGGCCCCTAAATATGATAAACGTTATGCCGACCCAAACACAAGTGTTACCATCTTCTAGTCAGGACAGACTATGTTCACAACTCAACACCACTCTTAATTTCATTGCTCCTTTTGACAATCCAAAAAAATCCGAGGAATCTACTACGAAGGTGTCCACCTTTCCTTTTAATTTCTAGCCCCTACACAAGGACCAATTCCTTGCTTTCTTTGCTCGCTACATGGTTACAATAAGAAAGCCAAGAAGTGGGGCCAGGCTTTGCCATTGAACAGTTAGATGGTTTTACAAACGGTTTTGCCTAATGGATTCGCGGTTTTCAAGTTTATGGGACTATTTAGTTATGGAATTCTACACGGATCTCTCTATGCTGATTGGTCATTGATCCGTGTAGAGAGATCAATGAATACTTTGGATGGTAAGATAAACTTTTTCTTCATAAAGGTTGCCTTAGCGAGAAAAGAGAAGTGTGGGGTCATACACAAA